CACACACACACACACACACACACACACACACACACACACACACACACGGAAAGTAAGCCAGTTAAGCCAGTTAAGCAATGCTGAACATTAAGGATGACTTTTTTGAGACAGAGTCTTACTGTGTAACCTAACTGACCTGGAACTCATTGTGTAGGTCAGGCTGGCTTCAAACTCACAGATATCCACCTGTTGACCTCCTAAGTGCTGGAATTAAAGGCATGTGTGATTCTCCCTCCTGGGAAGAGTTAGGTGTGTGGCTGTCATTCTCCCTCCTGGCTTCTCAGGACAGGGTCACTTGAATCGGAGGTTTCTCTGATGGGTCTGTTTCTGTCTAAATTCAGATTCACATTCCTAGAATCTGCAAGGTGTCTCCTGGAAACCAGCTCTGCTCAGGGAACAAAGACTGGAGGAGTGATGCTGACCAAGGGTTCTGAGGTGCAAAAGGCGGAGCGAAGATTTCCTCAGGGCTGCACTCTCTGGTGTGTGTATGCATATACATTGCATACTGATGACTGCAGTCAGCCCAACCTGGCATTAAGCTCCTTCAGGACAGGATTTGGCTTGTGTTCACTATAGATGGCAGTGCCTTCTTAGCAAGAAACTTCAGGGTGATCCTACTTTAACTGTTCTTGCCTGTGTTTGTAGGCATGGCATACTCTGGCCCCAGGAAGCTCTATTTAATTTATTAGGGGTTTTGTTGTTGCTTTTTTTTTTGTCACAGTTTTTGTTTGAGATATAAGCCCAGGATAGCCTTGAATTTACTATGGATCTGTAGATGACCTTGGCCCCTGATGCTCCTGCATTCTGGTGCTGAGCGTACAGCCTATCTCTTAACCCTGCTCCTGCCTCTCAGGCCCTTGGTCTTGCCCTGGTGGAGGGAAGATGAGGTTTCTCTGTTCCCTTCTCTTTACCTTGCTGGTGATGGCTGAGGCGCCATCCAGACCATGAGGCTGGGGTGCCCTCTTTTGGTGAAAAAGCCCAATGCCACTTGACTGCTTTTCTTTGGATCCTCTAGGACAGACTTAGACGTGGACTTTCTAGACCCCTGCTCCAAAGCTCTGAGTTGAGAAATCACGAACACGGACCACTTTCTGGATATGTGTATGCTTTGCATTCTAAAGACAGTTACATAGACTACTGATCCTGGGGACACAACTGTGTTATCTGATTCAGTCAGCAATCTTGGCTCACAGGCTTCAGCCCTAAGAAGCAGAGAGATGTGTCTTAAGTCCAAGTGCATTCAGATATACAGCGCTGATATAAAATTCAGGTGTCAACAGATTGGATTGGGTGGGATATGTCAGCGTAGGCCTGTAATCCCATCACTTGGGATGCAAAGGCAGAGGGATATTTGCAAGTTCGAGGCTACCCTGGTTGACATTGTTAGTATCAGGCCATCTGGGTAACAGAGTGGCCTCTGTTTCATTCTACCTCACTGAGGAAATGCCTGGATATCTTTAGTAATAACTGGTCACATGCCTTCTAGCCATAGCTGATATTCCCAGAGTTCATATTTCCTTGTTATAGGCGGTAGACGTTTTGCCCACTGGAATGATGCGGAAGTAGACCCCTCTGGTACCTGAAACTTGGAATGTTCCCTTCCAGCCTCCCCAGTGCCACTTTGCATTCTATGCAGTGGCACCTCACAGTGCCACTAGGTGTTGTTAGTTTCATCTTTGTAAACAATCCTGGTCACTGCCTGGGAGAGTCTGGTGCACTTGGTAGTACCTGACACATGGCAGCTAACTGGCTACTTCACTTCTGAGATGTTGTTTAGGCAAGTCTCCTCCCATCTGGGCATGTGTCTTCAGGGGAACCCCACTTCTCTGGGAGTCCCTACCCAGTGAAAACAGTGGGAACATTCTGTAGGCACAATGGAATGCCCGAGGGCACTAACGTTCATGTTCTGATGTTTTCCAGGGTAAGCTGGCTAATGTTAGAGGGGCTGTTCTGAGTCAAGAGCTGGATGTTTCCCAGTGCAGATATGTGCCACCCTGTTCTCCATCACGCTCCAGGTTTGGCCAAGAGTTGCATACACCAGGCCTGTAGGGGCCAGAGATGATAAGGAGGAAGGAAGCAGTAGTAACTGGATGCAGGACCCATGCTGAGCTGTTCTCAGCCCCCGCTGCTCAGCAGGGTGGGCCCATGCGTCTTAATATTTCTCTATAGAAAGACACTCAGAATTTAATGTGAAAATCCCTAATTTGTTGGTAACTAATCAAAGAAACTAACAAAACAAAAACCATGAAAACAAGCTGGGTGGTGGTGGGCACATGCCTTTAATCCTAGTACTTGAGAGGCAGATGCAGGTGGATCTTTTAGATTAAGTCTAGCCTGGTATATAAAGCTAGTTCCAGGACAGCCAGGGCTACACAGAGAAGCCTTGTCTTGATAAATAAAAAACCTGAAAGCCGTTCTGTGGATTAAACTATGCTTGTTGCTCTGCACCTGCAGATCAAAGAACTTTTAGTTTTTATTCTGTGCAGAGAAGTCTGTGGACAAAAAATCTACCTTCAAGTGCTCAGCTGTCCCTAGTCTGTGTTTGGCAGCCCCCAGTCCATCCACAGTAACTTTCTATAGTTGGCAGAGAGCCATGCACAAAGGCCACATTATCTAGGTGTCTTACCTTTAGCCACTGGACATGGTTTCTAAGGATGTTTTTGGGTGCCTTCAAGAGGCCACCAGGGGGGACTGAAGAGATGATGGCTCAGCAGTTAAGAGCACTGACTACTCTTCCAAAGATTCTGGGTTCAATTCCCAGAAGCCACATAGTGGTTCACAACCATCTATAATGGGATCTGATGCCCTCTTCTGGGGTGTCTGACAGCTACAGTGTACTCATGTAAATAAAACAAATCTTAAAGAAGAGAAAGAAAGGTCACCGGGCAGTGGTGGCGCACGCCTTTAATCCCAGCACTTGGGAGGCAGAGGCAGGCGGATTTCTGAGTTTGAGAGTTCGAGGCTAGCCTGGTCTACAGAGTGAGTTCCAGGACAGCCAGGGCTACACAGAGAAACCCTGTCTTGAAAAAACCAAAAAAAAAAAAAAAAAAAAAAGAAAGAAAGAAAAAAAGAAAAAGAAAGGTCTAAAAAGAGGCCACCAGAGGGCAGAGGCAGAATGCTGAATATGTTGGCTATTTATAGTGTGTATATATTTGTTT